TAAGATTCTTTAGATACACATGTATCTTTACCTCCCTTTTTTCTAAGAAGAACGGAAATTTTCTTCCGTGTGTAAAAAAATAAATAAATCAAACATAGCTGTTGCGATAAATGGCTTCAACTATAAAAAACTTTTAGGCTCAATAAAAATCCTATTGTTGTTGTAGTGTAACACTAGATCATACTGTCGGTCCATTCAATATCAGAAAATTTTTAGGAATTGTAACAAGTTTTTACTGGAAATGCATTCAATACTTACTTGAAGTACTTACTGGAAAAGTTATTGAATGGATCTAATATTACTTAACTGGAAGCATCATTAATGCTAAGGAAGAAAAATATATAAGATTATGAGAGGTTTTTTCATTGGCACTTTGAACTTTTTCCAGAAATTTTCTTATTCGAATCGGGCCAAGAGCAATTGGTTGTAGTAGCGATGTTACGCGCTAATTTTAAATGATACCCTTTAATTTGTTGATAAGAGGCTTCGCTCATCTCTTGCAAAAAAAATAAAAATAAACGACTTAATCATTTACTCTTACGGCATTTTGTTATCAATTTCCTGACTTGCAGCTATAATTTGTCAACAATTAAAGCAAGTGATAATCAATTGTCACATACTTTTATATTCATATATATGTATGTACATAGTAAGTATCATTATTAGTGATGGAGAAAGTATCGAGTACCTTTTAAAATCGACTATATGTTACGGTACTTCAATAATTTTAAGAAAGCGGGATTTTTTAGTACCGACCAATTTTAATACTTTTTTATTAAAGTGTTTTATTCTCTTTATAAAAGTGTCAGTCAAAATCGTACAGGCATATCGACTAGGTAAGCAGTATCAGTAGAGAAGCTGATTTTATTATTATTTTTTTTTCAAATTAAGTACTTGGTCTCTAAAATATTCTAAATTTTTAAAATCTATTTGCATGTGAAACCTTTTTCCATACAAAACAAGCGACTGAATAGCAGCTTTTGGACCGTTCACCCAACTCAGCAGCACAAACGTTGACTACTGGGATGGAGCAATGCTTCAAGATGCAAGCAAATTTATTAAGAAAAAAAAGTTGCAACAATTTTTTCCCCAATTTCGGATGAACACTTTTGTGAGAGAATGGATCTGAAAAACGAATCGGAAATCGGATGCAACATCATATTTTAATACGAAATCGTTTCCATTTTCGGATACGTATACGGATATTTTGCTGGCTGAGATTTGTAATAATAAAAAAAATCTTAAAATTTTCATCATAATCTCACAGTTTTTATTCAGAATTTCTAGAATTATTTCGGATTTGTAATCAGAATCTTTAATAAAGTGCAAGTTTGAAGGTTTGAAGTCGCTAGAAATTACCGTTGATTTTTCGCAATTGTTTTTGTTGACGGTGTTTTTAAATTAAAAAAAAAAAAAATCGCAAATTCGGTAATTTTTAGCAACTTGAAACTTGCACTTTATCAGACTGAAACAGAATGGTCTACAAAATTGCATACCCGCATACTGTATATCCAAAGATTCTAATTGACATTTTTGAAATTTGGATGACAATTGTTTGAAGTCTGACAATTTTTTTTTTTTAATTCGTGTATGCGCTTTCTTCTTCTTCTTTACTGGCGGATGGATGTGCCAAGTGAAACAAAGTCCTTCCCCACCTGGTCTTTGCAACACAGAGGAGGCCTTCTATTCCTCTGTTACCAGAATCGGCTGGTTTTCTTTATAATTTTTAATTAGTAAACATATATCTATAAGCCAAATCGGTTTTTTTAATGCGATTCTTTCGTAGGTATAAACGTGGTAATAGATTGAATTATATTTTGAACAAAAACTATTTAAAACAAAAAAATAAGCGTACATAAATAAGTTGCAAACTACATGCATATATCATTAATAATTTCGGTGTTAATTTATTGACCGCAGCTGTATGTACATATATACATATGAATATAAAAAATGGCCCTGCTACTAAATATTTAAATTCAAGTGCATATCTACGCAGTTATTCATATGGAATATGTACATACATATACATACATACAATATATAGGTACGCAATCATATAATTTTATCAATTAGCACATTCTTAGCCACTTAATGAGACTTCTGCAAACATTACATTGTATCCGATTCCTGCTTCGCAGGGAAAACAATAAAGTAAAAAAATACGAGCAGAAAACGACGGTAAAAGTCTTTGTACATGCATACATATAACGGGTGATCTATCTAGACCTTTTTAATTTACATATTTATTATAACCTGAAAGAACATTCTATGACGTTTACTTTTTTAAAATAATTTTATTCAAACGTTAGAGAAAGTTCTTCTAGGTATAAATGAAGACTCTGACGTCCAGTTCTTTCTTAAGTGTTTTATTTTGATTTAAAAAATAGGTATAGATGGATCACCCTATATATGAAGTCAATCCCATAGTCATGGAAAAAATGGGGGTTATTGGAAAAGGGGGTATGGAAATACATACATACATACATATATGAAGTTCATCTCAAACTTACGGAAAAATGGCGGTTATTTTAAAAGGGGGCGTGGCACCGTGGAACTTGGCATGCAGATTTATGAAATCAATCCCATTATTATGAAAGAGCTAGGTTTATGAAACCAATCTATTATTTTTTAAGACTTGCACCAAAAAATATTTCGAAAAAATACTAAGATTTACGCGAGCTGGACCGATTTGAAAATATCTCCAAAAATTGAGTTTTTTATGAATAAAAAAAGTTTTTTTAAAGAATCTTTTGAAAAAAAATTACCTCAGATGACAAAACAGTTTAAGCTTAAAAAGTTTCCATAAAAATATTAAAATATTAAAAACAAAATTCAACGGAATCATAACAATGAGATTTTTGAAAACCTGAATAACTCAACCACAACTTTATCGATAAAGACTTATAAGGTATCATTGGAAGGGTATGTATTTTGCTCCCTTCCTCTTTGCAAATAAACTGATTCAAAGTATAAAAAGAAGGGTAAGATGAATGAAATTATACTGCTTCAAGTTCAATAAAGATGTGTTGATATTAAAAAAAAAAATTAATTAATTAAAAAATGGGACGCGAATGAATTTCGTTGCACAGAAAGAAAAATGGTGAGAAAATACGTTTCCACTAACACCGCATAAGTAAGTATTATGATTCCGTTGGAAAATTTTCATGCAGGTTTTTGAAGCTTAAACTGTTTTGTCATCTGAGGGGATTTTTTTTTTCAAAAAATTCTTTATAAAACTATTTTTATTCAAAAAAATCTAAATTTTCGGAGGTCTTTACAAATCGGTCCAGCTCACGTAAATCCTATCTAATATTTTTTCGAAATATTTTGGTCAAGTCTTCAGATGTAATAAATTTGTGTATCTAGTCCCGGCGGAAAACCCGCAACTTTTCAAGTGATAGAGTCTAATGTACATATGTACATATGTATGTACCTGCATATACAAATACACTGCTCCTGGTGTTGTTGTAATGAAGCGGTTTTGGGAATCAGCTGTACTTTGTTAACATTGGTGTAATTTTCTTGATTTTGTTACACCGTATCATTTCTTAAATTTTTTCAAGGGTGATCCTGAAAGAGAATAACACCTGAGAGATGTTTTCTTTTCCACACTTGCTCCAAGCGCAGCAAATATCACAAAAACAAATTTATGCAAAGAAACGAGTGAAAAAGTGCGTCCATGCAAAGCAAAATACGCTAGAGCAGAGAAGCAAAGAAAAATAAAACAAAACATTAAAGCAAAGAGAAACAAAAGGCGGAAACGGCGTAGCTGATGAGTGAACGATTTTCCGGGGCCGTGGCTGTGGCTGCAATGACGAACGCCTCATCAGAATTCAACGTCACAGATTCGAGGAAAGCAAACGTGATTCATAAGAAAATCCGCATGTTGCCGCACAAAACACATTTCCACTACAGATGCATTCGCATACTATATAGATACATATGTATGTATACTTCCTAGATATGTATGAATTAAGGTGTGCTAGGCATACATATGTACGTACCATACATACATGTACGTACATACAAAAAACTGATGAGTAGCGTATATAGTATGCGGGTGGTTGTTTAGCACCGGCAGCCATCTATATCATTGCCACCACCTGCGCAACTGGGGGTTGACAGTGGCCACCCAGAGTCGGTATATTTATGTACATACCCTGCAGTGAAAAGCCAAACCACTCAGTAAAAATACTAGTTCATTAACTAGTATGTGCTAAAGCAATGTAGGTGGCGTTCGACAATTTCGAAGAACTTAAGCGTTCAGCGAAATCTGCCTTTGAATCGTCAAAGTTAAAACTAAAACGCAAATGATTCCGTTTCTTACAAATGTCGGCTGTGTCGTCGCGTGTAGACTACCGGTTCTGCTTCTGAGATCGCTGGTTCGAGTCCACTTGGAGGTGGTAACAATTTTTCACGTTAAATCAATGTAAGTGAATATAATTACATATTTCAGATCTAATTCCATTGCAAAAAAAACATATGTACGTAAGGTAAGAAATACTTGTATCATAAAACAAATAAATTAATAAAAAAAAAAATTTTTTATTAAATTTAAAAATTATAAGAAATATCCTTAATAAAAAAATAAAATAAAAATAAATTTATAAAACCAAATTGTTTTTAAATTAAATTTAAAAATTACAACAAAAACCCTTAATAAAAAAATTTCCCCTGCGCTAGGACTTGAACCATGGACCTCAGGAATGCCACACCAGTGCTTTGCTCTGTCGGCCATTGCCACTCTTGGAGCACGAGCGAGCAAAATGGCATACTTATGCTTTATGAATTGGCGGATTATCTAACCAACTGGTATGATGCTACTAGTATTTATGTTAGTGGATGCTGATGAATAGTCCGACAACTGACATCTCGTAGGACATCGCCAGTCGCTATCATGGGCAAACTGGTAGAATTTAGTTCACAACTAGTAGCTTTCCCTGCAGGGTGTGAATCTATGGGAGTAGTCGGCTTTTGGGCGCGTTCGCAGTACTTACCAACGCCGTATTTGTTGTTGGATGATATCCACATTTTGGCACTGCTGCAGAGGCGACAGAGACGTCACGCCCGACGCTGCCTGCTTGGAATTATTAACTTATAGTAGGTAATAATAATTGCAAGCCTTTGCTTACTTTGCTTTTCACTTCGGAGCTTTTGCCGTTTAATAGCACAAGGAATGAAGGAATTTCACATTTTTCGAAAACACTTCTCAACTTTTTTACTTTTAACTATGTATTATTATTTTAACAGATTTTTATTTTTGTTGATTTATTTCCTTATTCTCTTTTTCTTATTGGAATTTTCACTTTGTTTTCAGCTTCGCATTCGTCACTTAATTGCACTTTACGCTGTTTTGCCCCTCGCGCAATTGCACTGTGCTTTACTTTTTCGTTTTATCCTCAATTTTAATTTCGCTTTTTAATTTGCGTTATTTTTCGAATTAATTTTTACACATTAAATTTTTCATTATACATTTGTAGATAGGTATATATTTTTAATTACATCGCACCAATACCGTTAAAATTAAAATCACCTTCACAATTTCCACGCTGGAGTTGGAAACGACAAACAGGCCACCTACCTAGTGCCGACTGCAAAACGTTCACCAATTGCAGTCAATTACGTCGCAGCGCACAAACAACGGTAGCATTGTAATTTAGCACTTATTTCGCTCAACATCTTTTTAAAACACAATTGGGCATCAAACAGATTTTCCACTCAACTCACTGGCTGGTCATTGGTTTGTGTGCAAGTGCGCGCTCGGTAGAAAACTAATCGATAAATTTGCCTTTGTGTCTGCTACCGCAATAAATAATCGTTGTTGTTATAGTTGCGTGGTGTTGGAAAATCAGCAGTCGCGCAGCCAGGAATGCAAATGTCTAATAACAACATTACCAACAACCATACGGAACACTAGGAGTCAAACACTTAAAATCAACAATCAACCTACACGAACGCGAGGAACAGAAATACTACTGAAAATGCAAAAAACCAAACAGTTCTTCTCGGAACGAACCAGCTACGAAAATGTGTATAAAACGGACTTCACAATGACAGCCAGCAGCTGACTACATGTGGAGTTGCCACTCTAATTTGAATGTCAATTCCAATTGGATGAACATGTAATGTCAAATTTTTTGGAAAGTGGTCGGCATTTCCGTACCCTACATTGTCGATGTTTTTAAATTTTTCAAAAAGCAACCCAAAAATGAAGAATTTTTGCAACAATAATTATATAGAATATAAAGAATATAGTAAACTACAAATAAAATTTTCCAAAGCTAAATTCTTAGTTCAATTAGAGCAGTGGATCTCCAGCGGCCACAAGTACGTAATCCCAAGAATAGATTGCACAAATGAGCTTGACAATTTTTTCTGCAAAAGTGCATTAACTGTGCCAAATCACCACAGTATGTACAGTAATAAACCTTTTTGAGTATTCCTCGAGTTTAAAATCTGATCAGGGTTGATAAATGAGAAGGAGCATGAATTTTGCTGAGTCAGAGTTGTATACAAAGTTACTGTGGTATGAAAGGGAGCAACCACCGCATGATTCAACTACACAAAATCTGACAAGATGAAGCAAAAAAAAAGTAATTTTCTAGCTGACGTTTGTAAATTCGGCGCCATGTTATTTCCTTTGAAACGAACCAAAAGTAAACAAAGAATATGAAGACGAAACATAAAGAAAAAAAGAAAGCAATTTTTGAACGCAGGTTTGGGCTAGCCATTTTATTATTTTTGTACATGTTGTTGTAACCGATTACCGCGCATTTCATTTAAATTATATTAGGACAAAAAATTTATTGAACATTGTATAAAAATCACTGAAATTAATCACCTCCAAAATATGTACAGGTCATCTCAAGGTCAAATTCAGAATTGTATTGAATTTTCAGGACTTGATGGAAACTAACAGACCTCGCATTCGTATTCGGGGCGTCGAATACCGTAGGGATATAGAGGTTTGGTTCAATATGCAGAAAATTTTGTTTTTGTATAATTGTGGGATTAATGAAAACAATTTTTCATGAAAATACTTGTGAATATTATATTCGGTCCTATCGCGAATTTCACGTGAACAAATATTCCCAAAAATTATAAAGCAAAACAAAAACAATTTTTCCCAGTTTTTGTTTCCATGTAAATTTATGTGAAAGATTTTTTCACATGTAATTGGCGATACGACTGATTAGAACCAAATTTAAAACAATGTGTACACTCACATTTGACACTGCACTGTACATGCACAAACGCAAAGAAATATGTAGGGAAAATTCATTTTTTACACGAATTAAAAATATTGCAATTTTTGTTAACGTTTAATATTATTAGAAAATATATATATACATATTTTTTTGATGGACGGCAAAAAATTGTACATTTTATTTGAGCCTTTTTACTTGGATGTTGTGGTACACAAAATTTTGATGAGTTGGCAACCATGTGTGCAGCTTCTTTATGTTCTATGTTTTTTGGTTATCTGCTTCAATATTCCACCGTCAATTAAACTGTAAGCGGGTGCCAGGGTTTGAGAAGCACTGGTGTAGAAAACACATTTTGATTTTGTTTCACAGTGGCTTTGAACTAGTGTCTGGCATAGCAAAGGGTGAGTCATGTGAAATACTTTTAGTAGTACATACATGTCGACTAATTAGAAAATCTATTTGATTTCTTTTTTATGAGGTTTGTGTCACAACTACATTGAATATGTATTAAAATTTAAAATTTGATTTCCTTCCTCCCTGTGTTTCTGCCATCACCAATTCCGTATCCTTAGTCGTATTTCAACTTTCGCTAGTGTTTGCTGCTCGTTTTTCTGCTCTTCGGTTCTAGTGAAAATTTTTATTAAATTGTGGTTTAAATTAAGTATTTAAGTCCAAAAATATGTTTTGTTAGGTGTTTACAGTGTAGTTGCGATTTCGATATTCTATAATGCAGTGTTTGTGATGAAGTGCAAGTGCAAGCATATTAAATATAAAGTTTTACGGCCGATGCGCCGCTAGTGAAGTTTGCAAATATGGCGGCGCATGAGCAAAGAAAAAGGCTTTTGCGCAGCATGATTAGTGATAAGTGAAAATGCTAACATATTTTTGAGTGCATACAAAGGTATGTTAATAGATATTTATGTACACTGTATACATAACTACATACATATCGATGGCCCTTTGCAATAACGACACAACTCTAAACTAAAAAAAAAACTATAGAATAGTGTTGCCAGATTTTATTTTTCAGCCGTACGGGACAATGGCATAATTTGTCCCAAAAAATACGGTATTTAAAAAAAATTTAACAGGGGAAATGAGAAATTAAGAACTATGAACCACATATTAACAAAGGTGATCAATTTCAACGAAGTAATGCTCAGATTAGTTATAATCTTATGATAAATTTCGTTTATTTAATGGCAACACTTTATAATTTACACACAAATATGTATGTACGTAAACGTATACAGCCGTATCCTAAATTTCGACCGAAAAAAATTTTACCCGAAAATTTTCCATCCGCCCACAATAAATACACGGACGCAAAAAGTGAAAAGTGAACCGGTTCGAGTAAAATGAAGCTCATGATAAGGTTGATAAATAACAAAACCATAAAAACAAAGTAAGAGATACAGTTGCGGTCAAAATAATAGCTGCAAAATTCAAAATGATGCCGTTGGTAACTTTGCTCTATTTATTTATTGTTAATAGTTTTCATTTAAAATAAGAGACGATCCATATCAGATACCACATAAATAAAATTTTCAAAGCTTGCATATAGTTCACAAAAATTAATTTCATAAAAATTTCGATATTTTTAATTAGATTTCCTAGAAAGATTTGGAGTATGCGTTTTATAGCTCATTCAATTTCAGTACTATAAAGTGCTAGTTTCAAGTCGCTAAAAATTACAATTGATTTTATAGATTTTTTTGGAGGGCGTTGCGCATTTTCTTCCATATAAAAGTCAGTTTTGTTCATGCCTAATATGGAAGAAAATTCGCAACACCCTCCACAAAAAATAAAAAATAAAAATAAAATACAGTTTGCAGGTTGAAAGGAATAATGAAATTTTCGAAAATAGTGGAAAAATCTTGTCCCGGCGGAATATTTCAAATTTAATGCAAAATACGGGACGTCCCGGTAAATACGGGATATTTGGCAACGCTACTACACACAGTGACACATGTCTCTAATCATTGCTAAATATTTATGACTGCTTTATAAATATTTATTAAGGATTAGACACAGATTAGACATTAGTTGGGTCTTTTTAGTTTTGAGTTGTACGGTTGTTCGCCGAGAGTCATCGTTCATATGTATGTATGTGCGAATATTTGTATGCTTGTGTTCATAATTCGTAACCATATTGAAGAGGTCTTGCATTTCTACGCTTCTCAATTGCCTTTTAATTTGGTCAAAAGAACGGGTAAGTTCCAAGAAATACATATTTTATATTTTTTTACATTTTTATTTGACCTTGAGTGAAAAATTCGGATATTAGTATGTACTAGAGATTTAGATGTTGCGGCGGCGCACATAGGGACGAATCGACAATATAGGACAACAAAAAGGTTTCGAATATTAAATTAAATTTCCAAAATTCACAATGGCGGACAATTCCTTAAAAAAGGTCTGTATTGTTATGAAGCTTGGTATCTAGAGATTTTCGTAGTCACTAATTTCGGAATTGATATTAAATTTTCAAAAATCCATATGGCGGACGATTTCTTCAAAAATGTATAGAGATTTTCGTTGTCACTAAATTCGAATATTAAAATAAATTTCCTAATTTCAAAATGGCGGATACAATCTGGCGCAAGATATCTTAAAAAGTGTATAGATAGTTATAAAGCCTGGTATCCGGAGATTTTCGTCGTCACTGATTTCGAAATTGATATTATATTTTCAAAAATTCCAAATGGCGGAGCGAATATGGCATCCCGAACAATAGGCGTTTTACTTTTAACGCAATGCATTACCTTTTGAACCAATTTTGAGTTTTGAAAATTCAATTTAAATTTCGTAATCAAAGGTAACGAGGATCTCTGAATACCAAGTTTCATACAAAATATAATTTAAAAAAAAGTCCGCCATATTGGATCCGCCATTTTGAGTTTTGAAAATTGAATACCAATTTCGAAACCAGTGACGACGAAAATCTTTGAATACCAAGCTTCATAACTATCTATAAATTGTTTAAGATATCTCCCGCCATATTGTATCCGCCATTTTGAATTTTAAAAATTTGATATCGATTTCGAAATAATTGAGAACGAAAACCCCTGAACACCAAATTTCATTGAAATCTACCAAATACATATGGAGTAAACGTTTTTGTCCTCCTATATTCTCGATTCGTCCCAATAAACGACTTAAGAAAAATATGCTCTATTTAATGAAGGGGGAAAAGAGGAGACGTTACCTAAAAGTAAAAATTTGTGTGTTACATTGTGGACTGGTTTATAAGGAGTATTGGAAAGTTATTTGTGATAAGATTTAAAGACTTTTGGTTTTCTATTTTTGTCGTCGTAATTAGTCACTTTGTCCTTGTCTCAAATAGCGCCGGCGCATCTGACCATTAGTCACATACCAAAGAACATAGGAAACGAATTCTTGTTTTCAATTTCGCAAAATACTGCTAAAAAACTCATAATATATATTAGGAATCGATGCATGTGCTTGTTGATTTAAAATACTTTAATTTAAAAAACTATCGATTAACCCTTCAGGTAATAAACTATCTGTACCGAATAACTCTTCGGCCATAATTTTGTTTCAGAATGGTTAGAACGCTTATCACTTCACTTTTCCTTCCAAATCACTCCGAAACATTTCACACCAAATTTACAGTACACCATTTTGCATATTTTCGTTTCAGACCACAAACATTGTTTACTTTTTAATAACAAAATAAACAACTTATCGTTGTCAAAGATTAGTGCTTTTTGAATAATTTAGTTAAATAATTAAAATAATAAATAAGT